ATTAAAAAAATGAACACACATGAAAAAGACAAATCAAATTTCAGAACAGAAGGGGGAGGGGGAAAGGTAAATGTCTGTGAGCTAATGATATTAGAGGTGATAATTGGGGAAGCTATCTTTGTAAGGTAATTAGAGTCTTTGTTAAGACCTAGGTGTAAAGTGTCAAATTTAAGCATGAATGACAGTTCAGAGGATTCTCTTTCAAGTCTGGTGTTAAAAGGTCTTTGAAGCAGGATGCGTTTAACACCAGACTTGAAACACCAGATATTTACCTCCCTACCTCATCCCCCTTCTGTTCTAAAATTTGATTTGTCCTTTTCATATGTGTTCATTTTTTTGATTGAGGGTATATATGGTCGTGCCAATTTTCTTCCACAAATTGATCTGAGGAAGTGGGTCTGGCCCACGAAAGCTCATCACCTAATAAACCATCTTGTTAGTCTTTAAAGTGCTACATAGTCCTGTTTTTTTGTTTCAGCTAGACCAGACTAACATGGCTACATAACTATTACTATTCATTAAGAGTTTGTGAGAGTGCTTTGATCTCCTCCTCTGACACCCCACTCACTCAGAGCTCATTAACAAACTGTTAACGCCTGTCAACAGGGTGCACAGAGACAGTCACACTGCAGTAGGCTAGTGTAGGACAGATTCACCCCCTAGCTTGCCAGCTGTGCCCAGAAAAGCTCATGATACCATCTACATGTTTTGTTAGTCTATAACATGCTACCAGACCATTTGTTGTTTTTTTCTGTAACAGACTAACTTGGCTACCCCCTGAAGCACTAATTGTGGAGATGGCTATGGTCTTCGGCAATATTCTGCCTTGATTACAATCTATTTTGTAAAATGCAGACCAATCTTCCGTATATACAGGCAGTCCCCGGGTTACATGGATCCGACTTACATCGGATCCCTACTTACAAACGGGGGGAGGCAACCCCGCACTAGCTGCTTCCTCCCAGCAGACCAGGGAGACGCGAAGCTAGCACCCCCCCCCCCAGCAGACCAGGGAGACGCGGAGCGGCTTTTCTCAACAGACACCTCAGCTTAGAATAAAGGACTGAGGGAAGTGAGGTGTGGGAGAATAAAACTGAGCTCTGGAGAAATGTTTGGCTAGAGTTCCCCTACAATATGTACCAGTTCCGACTTACATACAAATTCAACTTAAGAACAAACCTACAGTCCCTATCTTGTACGTAACCCGGGGACTGCCTGTACACAGAAAAATTAAAATGCCCATGTTAATCTATTTCCAAAGACAAGCGCCTGAAAAATACTCCCATTCTGATTCAGTAGCATCTTTCATCAGCCATGCACTCTTCCTCATGCAAGGCCACACAGGGTCAGGCCCAAGTTTTTATTATATTATAGATCTTTATTTGGCTTTTTTTGTTTTTAAAGTAACTACTGTCATTGCTGGTGGGGTATCAGAGGCAGGAAAAGGCAATGGCTTCCCAAACTGCCTGGCTGCACCCCCCCCCCCACACACACACTCTGTGGCAGAGGGGCCAGGCAGTCCAAGTGCGCCAGAGGAGCCTCGCTGACCTGGGGAGGCTGGGGAAGGTTATGGGGCGGAGGCACAGGTTTCCTGAGCTGGGAGGGGAGTCTGCCTCTACAGTGGGATGCTTGGCTCTCATGGGGGCCATGGGTGGCAGGGGCAGGGTCTTGAATAGAAGGGATCATGCCAGGGGCTTGTCTCACCCAGCCTTAGGCTCACCAGCCACCCATGATTACAGTAACTGATTTACTTCTTCAGTCTCCTCTCTCTCCATTACACTTCTCCAAGAAATGAAATATTCTTTTCATACATAGGCCTATCATTGCTTAGAAAGTGAAGGGTTTTGGAGAAAAACACCATTTTGAGGCAACTGAATGAGAAATTTTCATCTTGGAAGCTGCTATTCCGGAAAGACCTTGTCAAATCCAATTTTTCACCTGCAGGAAGAAAGTGAAGTTGACAAGATCCATCTAGGTGGGCAGCCATCAACTTTTATTTTCCCAGTGAAAAATTGAAATTTGTCAGAAAAAAATTGATATTTTCTCCTCAACATTTTTTTTTCAGGAAGGGCGTTTCTACTGGAAAATTACCCTGATGGAAAATTCCTGACTATTTCAACATCAGCCGGGACACTGAGCAGATCAGGATATTTCAGGCTTCACCAACACACAGTACTAGTCAGATTTCATGAAGTTCTGTCTAAACTTTTTAGTACAGTATAACAACCAGTGGCGGATTTAGGGCAGGGCAAGTGGGGCGGCTGCCCCGGGCCCCGTGCTTCCCGAGGCCCCGCGCATGCGCCTTGGCACCATAGCGCATGCGCTGTGTCAAAGAGGGGACCCACAAAATTTTGCTGCCCGGGGACCCGCGGCGCTGCCCTGGGCCCCGCGGCACTCTCATCCACCCCTGATAACAACTATGACAATTAACAAAGATCTCCAGAGGGAAACAACAGCAGCAAATAACCAACAACTCTGAAGATTCACAGCAGCTTTGAAAAAGCGCTACAAACTCTCTTTGCAATCAGCAGGAGCTGACAGCAGAAATGGGAAAGGCTAGCATCTCTTAAGGCATGTCTGCACAGCAGGGCAAAAGTTGAATTAAGGTATGCAACTTGATGTACATCATTTGTGTAGCTGAAGTCGAAATAGCTTAACTCGGCTTTTGGCGCTGTCTACACAACAGGAAGTTGAACGAAGAGCACTCTTCCTTTGACTTTCCTTACTCATAAAATGAGGGTTACAGGAGTCAGAGTAAGAAGTCCTTCAGCTCATCATTATTTCGAAATAATGGCTTGCAGTGTAAACATGCTCTTTGTTATTTTGGAATAACGGGAGTTATTCTAAAATAACACTGCTGTGTAGACGTACCCTTAGTTCTATATTTGTGCATTACCAGATTTATATTTAAGGTTCCAGCAGACTATTCCTCCACAGCAAAAAAACTGAAATTGCTTGCTTTCAGAGAGGAAAGATGGATGAACCTTTCTTGGAAGGCAAGCTAGTACAAGGGACAAAAATTTACTCAAGAAAAAAAAAAAAAAGACCTTGTGGGCTGCTGCAAGGCATATGGATCTGCACTGTTCATCATAAATGGAGAGCAATGGGCTGCAGAACAAGAATCTATAACATAAATATAATATTAAATCTAATGGGTCGTTATTACCATTAATCAGTATCCTGAAGTTTATTTTGTTAAAATCTTTAAAGCGGTTGTGTACATTGTAGCGCCCTGTATAGATTATCTGCATAAGCACACTGGAAAATGTGAAAAAGAACAAGTGGTAACTACATTTTCCATTTTACTTATGTATTCATTATTTCTAAAGGGATTCTTTATTTCAAAGAATTTATAGATGTGTGCAAGAACAATGCATTGACTTTGGCAGGAAGATGAATGTATTTAAGCAGAACGGGGTTTTTTTTCTGAATAGTGCTGTTTCTGCATGAAGGCATGGTGATGGAGTTGCCCTTATAGTAAAGAAAAATCACCTTACATTTGGATTTTGGGGAAAGCTGTGGGACTGGGAATATATATGCCATTAGCAGACAGACAAAAAATAATGAGACGAAACCTTGATAGGCCAGTCTGACACACTTCCACTGAAATGTTTTCCTGTATAAAATAATTTTCCACTCTAAAAAATTGCCTGTTTTGTCCAAGCGAAGATGTACAAAGCAAAAGCCTATAGAAAGAAAACTGCATTTCCATGGCTGAGAGATGCTTCCTTTCAACTTTTCACATGGTTTGAAAGGCAGCCTGACTGGATTATTATAAGGCGTAATTTGTAATACTTTATTCCCCAGTGAAATGCTTCGTACAAATACAAATAGCACCGACAGTGCATCATCCATAATAGAAACATAATCTGTTCTGAAAGAACATTTTGATCAAAAAGTTAAAGTTTTCACAGGCCCGTATTATACCAGACTGACAGACATGCTCTGTCGATACCCAGAAACCTCTCAGATTCTTGAGTGGCGTCTCCATGTTATTTATTTATATTCCCATCACCAACATTCATATGTTCTGAGCAGCTAAATGTTTACAGTGACTCTGCCCTTTCTCTCAGGGCCAGAGAGGAATAAAGATCTCTCACCCTTGGAACGTAAGTACATACTGGGCCCAATCCTTACTCTTACTCTCTCTCTCTCTCTCTCTCTCTCTCTCTCTCTCTCTCTTTCTTTCTTTCCTGGCCTTCTTTTATAGCCCTCAGATGATAACTATTTAGGTCATAACCCCTCCATCCCAACTAATCAGCTAATTTTCCAATCAGTCTTTTCCAAGGGAGCTATCTGGTGCCTCCCTGATCAGAGCATCAATCAAATTAATCTCCAGCACTATGTATCACAGATAGTCTGGTGATTTCCAGACTGAGTCCCAACATTACGAGTACAGGTTGAAACTTTCTAGTCCGGCACCCTTGACACTTGACCGGTGCAACTGGCCCCCGGGAGGTCAATACTGTCTAGCAGCATTACCAACACTAGTGCAACTGGCCCCTGGGAGGTCAATACTGTCTTGCAGCATTACCAACACTTCCACTGCTTACTAGGTTCTTAGAAGACATTTATGGGTAAATTAGAGCCAAATAACAGCACAGAACACTGAGAGCCAGGACTGGTGGCTGTAAACAAACTTTATGGGACCATGGGAAACTTATCTGTGGTATAATTTGCTTTTACACTAGAATAATTCCTCTTAAAATCCTGCTGGCCAGTTCATTATCTGGATTTTTTTTCTCTTTTAAAAAAATCCAACACACACACAAAGCTGTGTGATGGAGCCTTTTGTGTTATTGCACTTTTCCAGCATACTTCCAGATAATCCCCCAACCTTTACAGTACTGAAAAGAAATGAACATTCCTTTCAATAACCAAGCAAGTAATAGTTAGCAAGCATAGAATCTTGTAAGTATTCAGTTTCATCATGGCATCTGTAAAACAAAACACCTAGCAACAGAAACCATAGCTGCAATTTAGCAGTTCAGTCCACTTACCCATTTCCTGCCTGCTGCTGCATACCCCTGTCCCATAATGCTGTAATTCGTCTGCCACTGTTTTCAAAACATTAGCACCTGTTTCTGCAAAGCCGAGGTAGTTATAAGAGCCCATGTTGATTACATCCTTAATAGTCCTTCCAGTAAACCTACAATTAAAGCGGATTTATAAGAAGGGGGCAACAAACTAATAAATACATAAATAAAGCACATCACGGTTTTTTTTCCTATTGAAATATTACAACCTTAGGGGGCAACAAACTAATCAATAAATAAATAATGCACATCACGGGTTTTTTTCCTATTGAAATATTACAACCTGGGAAATTACGTTCTGTATACTGATATTCCCATGTATAGTTTCCAATTGTTTTCTACATCCCTGGCTAAAAAGAGGTTACACTTACTGTAACAAACAAAAAACAGGACTATGTAGCACTTTAAAGACTAACAAGATGGTTTATTAGGTAATAGTCTTTACCTAATAGTCTTTAAAGTGCTACATAGTCCTGTTTTTTGTTTCAGCTAGACCAGACTCACACGGCTACATTTCTATTACTATTTTACTATAACTGGAGGCTCTTTGAAATGTGTGGTCTCGATTCACATGTGGGTGTGCACCTGCCTGAATATGGACATTTTTTTCCAAGCAGTATCTGTTGGCCTGCACATGCTTGGTTAGAGTCCTATGCAGATACAAACTACAGCCACAAAAATAATCCGCAGACCTGCAGATATAAAGTGGCTATCTGCAAATTTGCAAAATTCTAGATGCAAAATTTATACCTGCATTTGCATCTGTATCTACAAAAACGAGTTGCAGAAATCCGCATTCACATCCATGGTTGTGGATACCCACAGATATAAAGATGGTATCTGCATGGCTCTATGCATGGTACATCTCCTCATGCACCTGACCAAGGGGCAGTACAGGTTGATACCACTCCAGTTCCTCTTCTTACCTCACAGTGTGGTCAAGTGCCAAGCAGTGGAATGAAGCCAACATGGTCATGCAGAATTTTAGCTTCCTGATGGATGTATTTAGCTGGAAAAGCTGCAGGATGGGTCTCTGCCCTATGGCTTTTTTGAGAAGAGAAAACATGGTGAATAGACTCTTTTCCCTTGGTATTGCAGCAAGTCAGGGAGTTGGTTTCCTGCCAGCTAAAGAATCAATTGGTGGGGGAGATCCCCTGAAGGAGGTCAGGTGGGAAGAAGACAAACTCTGTGGCATATCTGTGATGCATGATCTCCACTGCCCAGCTGTCCATGGTGATCTTGTCCCAATTGCAGGCAAAATGGGCAAGGTGGTCCCCAAAAGTGACTGACCAGTAATTAACATTGATAACAGCTGTGTATCTTGACCTGCACACCAAAAATTATCTTTGGCTTGTGGCTGAGGTAAGGTCAAGGAGGTGGCCAGTGGGGGAATATGGGCCACTGGGACATTGGCTGTTCACAAGGGAGTTTTAGTGGCAGCTGGTAATAGGGCAGATAGGCAGCCAGTGGATGGTAGATGTAACAAGTCTGTTACCAAAGTCACTGGCATTTCTCATGGATTCTGATTCTTCTTTGCCTTACTCTCCAGCAGAGACAGAGAAAGAGAGAGAGTATGTGTGTGTATTTGGCACTGGTTCAACAGAATACATGCATGACATCCAACCTGACCAGCAGCAGCTTGGGGAAGGAGCGGATCTCTTAAGAGCAGTGTGCTGCTGAGCTCTGCACTTATACCCATGAGTGTTTTTTGTTTGCATGGTGGGACTTGTCCTTACTTTTTGGTACTGACAGTTCCTCTCCAAGTCTCTTGCTTGCCGATTGTGGAGGGGGGCGGGAGGGAGGGCAGAAGGGAGCATCTCCCTGATTAGAATCTGAGTGTATTTGGGGCCTCATTGCCTTTTCCATCAGGGAGCTCACAGGCCTTCTTTCTGGTTCTGGGCAGGAAGGACTTAAAGAGATGGTACACACTGCCAAGATGTGTGCGCCTCCTAGGCACTGGTGATGCTTGTATGAGAGAATGAGAACAGTAGACACAGTTCTTAAAGATGGGATTCAAAGCATTAACCATTGGTGCAGGAAGGTTGAGTCACCTGAATGGGGAACTGTTCTACTAAACTACAAACTATCCTACAACTATAGTAACTATAATAGCTACACAGTAAAACTGAGTCCAAAGTATTTTCATTAGAGAAAGACAACTCCCTTATCTGAGTATGCGTGAAAAAGGAATGGGGGAACTGGACTGGCACTGACCCTTATACTTTCCATGCGGGGGTATGAGAGGATGTAATGCACACATGTGGGTCAGCAGATGCAGCTTGGAAAAAAGTTCCAGACTCAGGCGCCTGGTGTGCTTGTGCACCAACATGCGGAATACACATGGAGCCCATTACTCAAAGAAGAACTGTTGCTTGCACAGAACTGCACGTGAGTGTCGAGTGATACAATGGTTGTGTGTATTGTTTGAAAATTCCCATAGGATCACCGAGGAGGAACAATGCACATATTGTTCATATCTGCTTCCCATCTGTCTTAACATAAGAACAGCCACGCTGGGTGAGACCAAAGGTGCATCTAGCCCAGTATCCTGTCTGACAACAGTGGTCAATGCCAGATGCCCCAGAGGGAGTGAACAGAAACAGGTAATCATCACGCGATCCCTCTCCTGTCATCCATTTCCAGCCTCTGACAAACAGAGGCTAGGGACACCATTCCTTCCATTCTGGCTAACAGTCATTGATGGACCTAACCTCCATGAATTTATCTAGTTCTTTTTTAAACCCTGTTAAAGTCCTGCCCTTCACAACATCCTCTGGCAATGTCTTAGGCCATCAAAAGCATGGCTTCCATCCAGTTGTGTTCAGACAGCCAATATGAGAGGAACTACTATGCAGCATTCATTGGAAAAAAGAATAAGCAGCCATGTCAATGTACTTTTAGTAGTTTGAAAAATAATCCATACATCCCATAGGATTAGTAACTTACTTTTCAAAATATTTCAGGAACCACATTATCCACAAAACAATTAAGTTGTCCTATGG